TGGAGTGGTCACAGCCTGCAGTTTAAGTGTGAAATTGGGTTTGGAGCTCAAGCCTGACCTGTCTGCTGCCTGCTGCGGGTCTCTTGGGATCGCTTGGGATTGTCAAAACTTCCTCCGCACCAAAGTTTGTAATTTTAACCAGCAGCGGCTGCTTCACGGCGAAGCGGCGCGGTGCTCTCTCATCAAGGTATTCTCTGCATACATACCCGCATGCAGCTACGTATTATTTCAAGCACACAAACATTAACGGAGAGACACCATCTAATGTCTACACCTTGGACTCCAAGGCCTCAACCTGCGTTGTCTTAGAGCCTCGAAACCCACAAATTAACTGATGCACCTCTCAAAAAACTCATTCTACAGTAAAGAGCTCTTTTCTTGAAGGCTTTATCCCTGTCTATAGAATTTTGTACCGTTAAAAGCAGCCTGCTGCTCCACGCTACTTCCACGCTACCTGTTCATTGAACGCTGCTGCGTAAGCTCTGAATCCTGAGCCTCAATGCCTGACTCACCGAATGCATCTTTCAAGAAGTTCAATTTGAATTGTTGAGGGCCTCCGTGCCACTCCAACTCTTTCGCAGAAATCTCGAATGGCAGCTGGAGGTACACCTCGGCGACGGAGGGCAGAAAGTGTCGACAGACGGGGGTCGTCCCAGCCAGCCACTACCTTTTCATTTACCAAAGCCAATAGTTTGCTGAGCCGACAAACGCAGTCATTGGTCAGCCCGTCGATTCAAAAATACGTCGGCAATTAGGTTTGCGCGCTACCATTAAAAACAAGTGAACACCAATGAGGAAAACACAGCATTTCACTACACTATAAGAATGCAGCAGCGGCGGTCTCTGTTGTTTTGGGATGATCCTGAACAACTGTCAGAGCGTGAATGCTCACCGTTTGCTCATGACGGTATATGTGACATTTAGCCTTGCGAATTCAATCTGTCTAGTCCTTGTAATCCCAAGAGCCTCTTGAAACCAGTCATACAGCTGTCTGTTTAGATCGAACTCTAAAGTGCAGATTGAATGAGTTATCTTTTCTATTGAATCGCTCTGGCCGTGGGCATAGTCATACATAGGGTATATCACCCACTTATTTCCTGCAACGAAGTAAAACCCGAAGCCCTAGACTAATCATCATGAACAATGGGTGGATCAAACAGTCAGTTTCCTTTGTAAAACTCGAATTTTAATTGCAAAGCCCTAGCCTTAACATTCTACAAGGCCCGAAATACCCAATCTCAGGCGCAGAAAACAGCGGATAACACAAACTCTTGACTACCGCGTCTCATGGCTAGAACCTGTCTGACCTGTGCGTGGATGTTCCTTCTTGAGAATGCGGTACATGATCGGGTCCCTCATGACCACGTTTTTGTGGGCCATGTCAATCTTGGCCCGCAACACGCACTGGCCCTCCTCGTACTCCCCATCACGCATCCTGTACACACCCCAGAAGTCTGAACCCTCAGAACAAAGTGACTCGCTAGGCATTACATTGGAAACAGCAAACCCGAGTTCCCTATCCTACACCTTAAATGCCAAAACATATTTCCTCCCCTTTGCGGCCCACAGTGGACCTCGAAAACTCAAAACGGTGAACAGAAAATGAATATTCACTTTCGGAAATGCATTAGGTTTTCTTCGATAGTAAACTTGTTCCTGTATGGGCTGTCCTCTCCCGGCTCAGTAATGCTGCCTCTCTTTCTCCGTATCTCCTCCAGAGAATCGAAATCGACGAAAGCTAGGCCCTTTTCAATTAACTGCTCAGCCCAACTATACAGCTGAGGGAAATAATCTGAGGCATGGTACAGGTGGTTTCCCCAGTCGCCACCCAGCCACCTCACGTCGCGCAGGATTGACTCGATGTATCTGAAGAGGAGAGCATGACAAGATGAATTAAACATATTGTTCAACAGGGCTCTATAACTGCAAATTTCTGCAGTTGAAGGAAACAGTTGGTTGTTTTATTGATTTCAGAGAGTAGAACGGAATATGCAAAGGTTCTGTGTGCAAACTAATGCCACGAAACTGCTGCGAAGCTAACCATACACTAAAAGTGGAGAAGCAACTGAATGGGATCAACAAGGCCGACCAGAAAACAAGTATTGCCCACAACAAACAAGTTGCCATCGAATCAATATCACTGAGGCCTGGACCATGAGCCAGTGGCTGCAGCGGTGGAGCCCACAGCGCTGACCTCGTTTCTTCTTTTGTAGGATTTGTATCATCAAATCTCATGTGGCATCTGCCGTTGAACTTCTCAGCTAGACCAAAATTGATGCAAATCGACTTCGCGTGACCCAGATGGAGGAAGCCATTGGGCTCTGGCGGGAATCGAGTGACAATAGATTTGTGCTTGCCCGAGGCCAGGTCTTGTTGCATTATCTGAGACAGGAAGTTTACAGGGGCATCGCTGCCGGAAGCCGCTCCTCCTGCTGCAGCGGTAGAATCAGGGGATGACACCTCGTTAGATTTCGCCATTCTGCATGAGAAAGGATGGCGAGGGAGGTGAGCCGAAAGGGAAGAAACTGTGAGCCGCAGGAACAAGTCTAAGATGGGAAGTATAGCACTGTCCTTCACGTCGGCGCGGCTTATGGCCCAACGGAATGCTCCAAATCGCATAAACAAATCAAATGTAGTCTCAAACTGCTATAAAAAAGCCCCGGTGGGACCAACACCCCGCAAAGGGACGCAAGGAGCAAGCTACTGCGAATCGACAGAAACTGCCTATGTTGTTGCCCCTGCGGAAGCGGCAACTTGTCCGCAAACTGGGCAGGAAAAATAAGCAGCAAAAATAATCTGATTGGATAAATTAAAATAATTTAATTAAATATATACTTCAGGATTTTCGTCGGCTGAGCGCTGCTAAGCAAAGGACAGGCCGCCAGTAGTAGCCCATAAGAGAGCCCCACAACAAACAGCCCCAGTTGCTCACCAGTTCTAATCTTTCTCGATTAAACATAGAAGCACACATGAGAGTAAAAACATAACTCATTAATTGCTGCTTTCCCCTACCATGCCGAGCTTTCGCTGTATCTACCCCATAGGGATGAGCCAGCCTTCCGTCTCGACAGTATTCATTCTTGCTTATGTTTATTTATCTCTTTTCTTTGCTTGGGATTATTCCCCTAGACATAAAACTCAGAAACTTGCACAATTATATGAACAAAGCTCAACATAAGAAACAGCATTAATCTCGCACGGAAACAATTTAGGAGACAGGACAAACGTAGGTTTGAGCTCGTGACTGCTTTCTGGAATTCTTGGGACTTGCTTTGTTTGTTAACTTCCCTTCTAAGTTTATAAAATAAAGCAAATACAGATAAGCAACCCCACGCGCTTCACTTCGACACGCGCTTCACTTCGACTTACTACCCAGTCCCCCTCTTGCTGTTCATGGATATATTAGAAGCCGTATATACGCATAGCGTGGTGTAACTATCCCCACGTTTCAGGGAGCTCCAGCAGTACGAATGTTTGAAGCGGAATTCTGAAAGCCCCAACCCCAAGCCCTCGCTGGAAAGTAAACTGTGTGCCAACCCTATGATTCAAACGAACTCTAATACTCAACCTGTTACGGAATAACCCAAATACCGCACCAGTCAAATGAAAAGGGGGCCACTACTAGGGAGGCTCTTAAGCTTGTTATAGAAATTTTCGCCTTCTGGTGCAGCAGTAGCTGCAGCTAGAGTAACTGCAGCGACAGCCCTCGCTTCAGATTTTTGTGAGCGGTTAAGTCAGCAGTTAGCCTCAGTTTCACATGCAGCTGTCTCCCTAGCCCGTCTTCCAGCCACAAAAGCACCAAGCCAAGACGACTCTCTAGGGGAGTCGCCGTCAGAAGCTTCAGTGCATGCACAGGCAACCGTTTTGCAGCTATATGCAACGTGAGGCCAACACAGGTCAGCAAGTACACAGATCCAGGGCAAAAGATGTGAGTGCGCACTGTTCAAGTGCAGCCTCACTCACACCATGATAAAGCCGCTGTTTTAAGTGCTGCTGCAGGGATTGCCGCTGTGGCTGCTGCTGTCTGTCTAGCAGATGGTAATAAGACTTGCAGCTTCACACTTTTACCTTTATCCAAGACACCTGTCATCCCAAAAAGTTTACCGCGGGGGTCCTAGCTGGACCTATGAGGCACTAACCGCCAACCACATGCATAACGGTTCGGGGCCCCCTGATGCATTTTTGGACCTTCATCCTACAGGAACAGGTTCCAGAATACAGCTCTGAAATCCCCCAGGCGGAACTCATGCAGCGAAAATGCCCCCAACCTAGCCAAATCGACCAAAGGGACCCTCTGGGGAAACCCTCTACAGGGTACTTGAAGGTATTTCTGGTAGTTTGCCTACGCTGTAGGCCATAGGTCCCGCTGCCGCCTATTGCGTCTTTGCGGTTTCGTAAGAGCCCTTGTCTGACACTCCTAAAAAAAGCACCTCCAACACCAAAAAAGAAGCCCTGCGGTACCCGCTCGCAAGCCGTCAGCATTTCATTGGGAACCCCATGAGTCCTCCAATGCACTCGGTCTACATGTAGTTCATTTTAGGGCATTCGGGCTTCTCCTTGTCTAGTCCCTTTAAAAGACTTTTGTATCCCCATATGGACAGTCTTCAGGCCCTGTTATACAGCCGTGTGTCTTGCATGCGTATTTTGTTGTCAGTTGAATGCAAATGAATACTCTGGGCAAATGGTTTAGGATGTAGGAAAGTTTTTTTTGAAGGCCGCTTTCTTCGAGGCCTCGATATGAATTGTGAGATGACTGAAGGAGAATATAAACTTTACAGTTGAGGGCTGATCAAGGCTTTTACCCTTCATGGTAGCCCAGACTTCTCCTTGGTTCCGATGGCAAAAATTACAAGCTTTCGAAGTTCCCGTCGTTGCGTATGCAGAACTCAGTGTTAAGACTTCAAGCTTTTGGTTTTACGAAGTTTATTAGAATTAATTTTGGCCAGGTATCCTTTGGTCAGCAGCATGAAACAGGGTTCGTAGGATTCGCCTTCAGAGAGTCACTGCAGCCCGAAGCCCTCCGAAGCTTCAATAGCAATGGTTAATAGTCTCTCCAGCTTCTCCTTGGTCCCATACTCGGGAAGAAGAAACGTACAAAAACATGTAAACGAGGTCGGAAGACGCTCTGTGGGTTCTCCGCCGTTTTTCTGAATTGTCATTCTCAGCTCAGATAGACCGAACGCAGGCGACCGTTCGCTGCCTGTAACGCAAGTTCAGAAAAAAGTAAGCCCTGAGGCCCTGAAGCTTTGGATAACCATCATGGTCATGAAGCAACGACAAAGCTACGAGCAGCCACGAACAGCCAAGAATAGCTCCTAAGCTCTAAATGCCAAACCTATCCTGAGTGGTGAAAGCAATGGCGCAAAAAAACAAAGGGTCCCTCGTAACAGAGGGCTTAAAGTGTATGTCCAACCACCGCAAACATTAAATTCTATATCCAAGCCCTAAGACGAAAGCAGGTGTAAAGGTTAGGCCAAGCAGGAAAGAGCAGCTTCGCCTTTTACATAGTTGCGTTTGAATATTCAGGCGTGTTAGGTTAAGGGTTTGCAATCACCTGAAACAAATTTGAGAAAGTTTTGCTTTTGAAAAGTGTCGAAAGAGAAGAGAATATCCCACAGTGACTTTATGTAAGGAGAGTCCGGAGAGTAGCCCTCGTACCTGCACAAGGCATAAGCCCACCGCCCACTGTGCAGTCCAGCTTCTTTACCCTCAGCCCGAAATACCAGCGAATAGAATCAAGCTACGCTTATTCTCCCATTCAGAGTTTGTTAGCTGCGGCCCGTTGCTGAACCCTAAATGTAAAGCCTTTTACCCTCAGCACTATCCCCACAATCGCAAACCCTGAACCGAAAACTTTAAATCCCAAACCTCACCTGCAAGAGGCCTTCAGGTCCTCGAAGTTGAGCTCTGGTGTACCGCAGAGGAGGAGCTGCAGCTCGGGACCAGTGAGGCTGGAGAGGAGCGGTGATGCAATCAGCTGAAAACCCTTTTTGAAATATGAAAACTGAACTCAAAGGACGACAAGCAAGTGGATAATGATTAAGACAAAGAGTTTTGGTAGGAACGGGCAAAGTGGAACGGCTGCACGGACACAAGTGTTTTCACTGAATGCACTGGGACAAGATCTACACAAACAGGTGAAAATGAGCACAGAAGACTGGCAAGTGCAATACGAGTTACAAAAATATTGGAATTGCCACAAAAACAATTATACGCCAATAAGCAGTTCAGTTTCGTGAGTGCGCATAACAAACCTGTGACTTTACAGAGTCCACCAACAAGTACTTGGCATACAAATTGACGAATTCATTTCTGTTTTTGATGGTTAATGGAATCGACGCTCCATCGGGCTTGAGCGGCACCTGCACGCGTCGCCCATCCCCTTGCTCCACGTCAACGCAAAAGGCCATGCCTTCAAATGCGTTCTGAATCGCAAACCCCCAACACAAATACCTAAACCCTAAAAGCCCTAAACCCTTGAAGCCGAGCTCGCAGCGCCACAATAAATAGCAGGAAAGAGGAAGCAAGGGCCAAATTAGCAGCAGATATCAAGGGAAATTCTGCAACGGGACATGGCTGACAAAAGATGCTCTCGGAACCACACTCCAAATCCTCACCATAAACCATAAACCCTCAAACCTACATTGAAATCTGCCTCGTTGTCGATTTCCAGCAGCTTCTCGAAGCTGTTCAGTTCGTCGGGGAACACGTCGCTGGAGGCAGCACAGAAAAGAAATGCAAACCCTAAACCCTCCACCCTAGGGGCTAAGCACTGAAGACTACAATCCAGGCGCTGATCTTTCTAAGAAATTCCTAAGACTATTTTCCATCACCCATACATGATGGAAACGTTAAATTCCAGTTGGGCAAGCCTGGCTACATTCTGCGACCCTGAGCTTTGCATGCAAACTTTGAAACTTCATGCTCAGCCCTAAACCCTAGATGCTAAACCCTCCCTACATCTCACCCCAGATCTTCTAGTGCCACGTCCTCCCCTTGGAGTTGCTTGTACACCTGAAATTCAAGAATGAACAATTTTGACGAATGTGAAGCCTAAACCCCAAACCCTACACCCTGGGTCGTAAACCCTACGGCCTACGTCGTAAACCCTGAGAAGAACTATGCACAGCCAAGCCCTTATCAACCACTTCTTATTCTACGATTTCCCCAGCTCTAAAAGATGTCACCTCTGCAAAAGCGCCCGCACCCCTTACAGCAGCAGCAAATATGACGACAGGAAGGGAAACAGCAGCAGCTGCAGCAGTAGCAGCAGTGGCAGCAGCGCGAGCAGCAGTTTGTCTTCATAGAATCTCACAACAATGGGCAGACTCAGTGGCATCAGGATGTCGTTATAGACCGCCATAGATGCAAGTAGACCCGTAAGCCAATACTCCTTGGCCTTGCCTTCAGGAATTAACTCGCTCCTGTTGTTGCTGCTGCTGTCCTGGTCCGATGACGCAGGGGCGCCTGCTGCCTTTTCTTCGGGCTTAGGAGATCCTTCTGCTGCAGAAGTGGCGGAATCTGCTGCAGCTGCAGCAGCGGGCTTCGCTGCAGCTGGCTCTGAGTCTGCTGCTGCTGCTGTAGAAGCATCTTCTCGTTTGTCCTGAGAGTCTAGTGGCTCTTCTTGCTGCTTAAACCACAGTGTACGTACACCCGAGTGGTACGTGAAGAGGCCGCGAGAAGCAGAGAACAACTCCCGAGTTAACAGCTGCAGCACGAAGGGACAAACAGGAAAGGAAAATGGAAGCTACAGGGGAAACTAAGACAAACAGTCGACACGACAGAAAAAGAATAAAATGTAGGGAAAAATGAACAGATGCAAGAAACAGTGCAAACACGTCACGCATGTGGGCAAGGTGTTCAGGTACCACAGCAGAAAAACCGGCTCTAAACTATAAAGCAGAAAAACCGGCTCTCAATCATAAAAGGGACGGTGAGCCACGACAACAATTAACATGAAGAAGTGAGAAGAGGGCAGACAAAGACGGGAAACAAGACTGACACGGTGGAAGAAATGCAGACAGTCATCAAAAGCAGAAACACGAACACCGGACCTTACGAAAATGCAACTATTGAAAAGTAGGCAACCACAAAGTGGGCATGCACTATGTATACAATTACATGCAGGTAGATACATAAGTCTGCATACAGAAAACATTAGTTGGCAAATTGTTTCCGTATCTTACCGAAAAGAATTCCCTCCGTAGCCCTCCTTCATCGACTCCCTCCTCCCCCTCAAATATGACCTTGAGGGGCCTCAGGAGGTCCCTGGGATCGTTCGATCCAAGGAGCTTGCATGCATCTTCAATTAGGTGACTGCGCCGGACCCTCAGAATCAAGAAGGGGAGCTTCGTGTCCAGTAAGGACTGAAGGGAGGTGTGGTGCTGGCGATAGACGTTGTCTACTAACAGTACCTGGAGAACAAGGAGAAAATAGAATGAATGAGTTTACCTTTTGGCAAGATGACAGGCGGACACAAGAGCTAGCCGATTCACTGAACTGCTTCTAATTGAAAATGAAGCAACTCAAGCGGGCCTCAGTGCAGAATAATGCTTCAACTTTGTTTAATTCTTCATTTGAAAGAGAAGTATCTATTGAATGATACTACAGATTATACAGCAGAGGAATTTGCATACAATTTTTCGTGTGAAACGCGCAAAGAAGTAAACAAGTAAACATTTTCGTTCGCCCATTTGATGTGGTTAGGCTCAAGGCCCTCTCAGGACACTGAAACTATGCGTTTCAATGGGTAATAAGTACACAAAACAGTTCCATGAACAAAACATATATGCGAATCACAAGAGTTGCTGCAGAGCCTACATAAATATGTACATGCACGCCTGTGCAGATAGACAAATATAATTCTTGGCGTACTTGAACATGAACCCGAGAGTAAAGCACATGATCTTCAGCAAGACTAAGCAGAGAAGTGACACCTTTTTGGGGCAAATGCATGCAATGTGTTGTGCCTTGGTATTTAAAACTCCATAAAAGGACTCCACTTGACTCACATTCCTCTTAAAGGAAAGAGGACAGAGATTTAAATGGGCAATGAACAGAGACCACCGCGACTGCAACTCGCAACTCCCTATGACGTCCCGCTCCAAGTCGAACAAACGCACTGCTGCGGCAAAACCCAAAGGCGCCAAATCCCAAACCCGTAAGTCTAAAGCCTTAGTCACATTCTGAATTGGCTGGAGACGCAAAGACAAAGACAACAGTCATGCGAACTCAGGTGCTCACTGGCAGTAGTTAGCTGAGGCAGACAGCCCAGCTAGCCGTCCAGTCAGCTTCTGATCTAATTGAGCTAATTAAGTAGCAGCTGGATAGCTAGTAAAGTGCGCCTCGGAACTACTGAGAAACATTTACTACTTCAAATGTTCAAGTTACTAATTACCTATCTATCAACTTGCGTGCCTACGTCGCCGCTCATTATGCTAGCAAATGAGCTAGGTACAAATTAGCTAGCTACCTAGCTAGCTAGCTGACTACTGACGAGTTCCCATCTCACCAATTTGCCTTTGTGTTTTGTCCTGAGTCGCTCTAGGGGCCATCTCTACATAAGCTCCGACTTCCTTAATAGGGTCTACCAGGGTGCCTATTTCTTTGACTTGGAACTTATCGATGGGAATCTTGGTGTCTGCTGCTCCCTGCAGCAGCACGCGGCGGTTGCTGCTGCAGTTGGCCCGATACAGCAGCTGCAGCAAAGCCACGCAGTGCCACACGCGATCCACAATGCGGTAGCGAGAACCAGAGGCCGAGAGCGACAAAGACAGAAAGCCGCAGGCAGGGGCGACCAGAGCCGTCCTGAGAGAGAAAAAGCAGGAAAAATAAACAAACCTACTAAATTAGTTCATATATATATGTACAGTGTGCTATGTAAAAATATTGGTGTACGATCCTCACTTTGTGATCAACTGTGTGCTAGTTAAGGCCTTAGTGAAAAAAGAGAACAAGAAGGCACTTCGGCTAGCGGCTGTGAAGTAAAAAGGCAAAGATAATGCAAAAGGAAATTGATACAGTCGCAGACACCGAGGAGGCGGGGGATACAGAAGCCAAAAAAAGGGGAATACAAAAGTAAGTAAAGAGTCTTGAGGAACGTATGGATATGAACAAACTCCAAGACAAGAGCAAAGGCAGCCACTGAAGTAGCAACAAAATACTGGAGACAAATAGCCGGGGAGCTTCCAGGGATCTAATTAACTTTCTATTTTTCATCTAATTTGTGTGTTGCCTCACTCAAACAATGAGTCCGGGAATTCCATCGCAAGCCTCAAAAAGCTTTTCTTTCCATCCGCCGGCAAATGAAACAGCAGGTGCAGCACTGCGGTGTACAGCATCTCTCCCCGCTGCTTCAGCTGCTGCTGCTCTTGCTGCTGCTGCTGCTGCTGGTTGCCGGCCGTGTCTGAAGCCATGGCTTCAGGCTCATCATTCCCGCGGGGGGCCACGTCGGATCCTTCTTGCGTGCCCTTTTGGGGGTCCCCCTGGGGGCCCCCCTTGGAGCCCTCGCTAAAGCTGGCGTAGACAGGCGTGCATGCAAGTATGAGCAGAATGAACTTGACTTGGTCGGGCCTCTTGAGGTGCTGTGCCATTTTGATGCTGTTGGTAATTACATTTGAGAAGCAGTGGCAAACCAGGGGCAGCAGCTGCTGCGGAAGCTGCTTGTAGACTGCAGCAATTCCCTCAAAGTCCGGGAGACTGCCGTGGCCAGGATAGACAAAAGAAGAATTGAGACGAAAGACATCACTGAAAACCCTCGAAATGACTGTCTTCAGCTGGCTGCTATCGCCCGTGCTGCGGGCCCCCTCAATGTACCCCAGGGCCTCTTCTACGGAAAGCCCCGACATGCAAAAAAGAGAAAGGTCCACGCTGCAGCTTTCTTGTCGAGACAAAGACCGGTCCGCAGCCCCGAGGGGGCCCCCCGGGCCCTCGAAGCCCACCACGCTGCTATCCCCGCGGCTGAGCGTGAGCAGCCGCTGCAGCGGCAGCTGCGCAGCAGCAGCACCGGCTGCTGCAGTGGCAGCAGCGGGAGAGGGCGGCTGGGGAGACAAAGAAAAGGAAGCAGACAGCTTCCGCTGCTCCCAACCTACTGAAGAACGCGAACGACACAACACTTTCTTGCAAAGCTGCTCTATGGCTGGCGAAGGGGCTCTGTCTCTATCTCTTTCTTTTGTGGGGTCGGAGTCCGTCTGTGGCGTCTCCACAGCAGCAGCAAAAGCTGTGAAGGGACCCGCAGCAATCAAATAAAAGTACAGCTGCTGCATCGGGGGGCCCCCAGGAGGCAGCCACAGCGGCTGCGGCTCATACGTGTACGGCCTCGGGGGGGGCCCCTCCTCCCCCAGAAAAGGAGATAGCGAGAAATTCGTGTCCGGAGAGACACCCAGTTGGTTCAAATTGTTTAGTCCCCAAGTGAAGACGCGGCCCTGAGAGAAAGTTCAAGTCAAAATTTAAACTGCAATTGAAATGAAAACTGAAGCTGAGATGTCCCAATTCAAATTCAAGTTTCATTTGAACTAAAAGAATAACTCCAAACTTTACTTTTAACTTAAAGTTTACATTTGAATTTAAACTTGAATTTGAATAAAATTTCAATTTGATTTCAAATACACAAAGGAACAGGAAAAGAAGCAGCGACAGCAGCAGCAGCAGACACCCCCACGCAGCAAGATGTGGTGTACACAGAGACAAGGAAAAAAGACGATAAGAATAGACAATGACACTTTTAGAAAAATAAAGCTAGAAAAGAATGAGCAGCTGTAGAACGATAGGGGCAAATTTATAGAAACACGCCGAGACAAACGAAAGGAGAGACGCATGCAGTAAGATTGGCAGCCACAATTAGACAAAGTAAAACAGTAGAGACAAAGAGAAGTATAGCGTGACTGAGAAAGATGGCTTATGCTAGATGCATGCAAAGAGAGAAAGATCTGATGGACGGCGAGGAAAAAAGGGAAATAAAAGGCACCAGAAGACAAATAGACAGGACGTGCCGAAAAGCTCATGTGCATTAATGTGTTTGAGGGCCTCTGGATTGATGCATATACATGCTCCAATCCACGAATCCCCAATATATATAAAAATATATATATTTAAGTATGCATTTATACATATATACATATATATATGTTCATGCTGCATGCACGCTTATGTGTACATACACTCATGTGGGCAATGCTCCCGGTTTCTTCTGAAGTTTGTGAGGGCTCAGCGAAACGGGATTTAGGGTTTAGGGTTTAGGGTTCATGGGGGCAAATTGGGGAAAGTGTTTCCGAAGTACTGCGAAAGGCTTACTGTTCGGGTGAGGGCCATGGAGAAATGCGTGCCAAGAGCCGCGAGTTTGATTTTGTGGTTTTGCAAAGAGCGAACTAGAAGAAAGCGGGAGCTCCAGGAAACGGGGGGGCTCTGCGTGCTGTCCCGGGGGAGGCGGGATCGGGAGGCGGGATCGCATCCCACAGGGAACCCCAACTCCCCGTAACTGTTGCTGCCACACAAATATAATAACCCCCCAGACACTAGCAGCCCGGAGTGACTGGCGCTGGCGAAGACTGCGCGGGCGCGCAGAGAGAGCCGCACAAGTTGTGGGGTGGAGACCTGCAAAGCAAAACCCCAAATTCAACTCCAAACTCCACTCCAAATTCCGAATTTCAAACCCCAAGATGCGAAATGTGCAGCAGAAGCTGGCGCTTCCAACAGCGGGCTGTGCAGCCAGCCAAAATGGGGAAAAAGCGGAAAACAAGTCGAAGTTTTGAGTATAAAATAATCCAAAACGCACTTGTTTTACTTCGTCATAGGCCTCGCCAAGACCCAAACGACCCCACTTGTTCGAACCCCAAGAGAAGACCTCGCCGCTGATGCTCAGCGCCAGGACGTGCTCGTCGCTAGCCGCCACCTGCAGCAAACCCAAAACCCTACACCCTAAACCCTAAACCCTAGGAGCTAACAACAAAGGCGGCTCCAGCAAATACAATATAGAAAAGGACAAATTCGGTAGCATGCATGTCCAACAACACGCATGCACTCACGGAAAAAGGAAAAAGACAAAGAGAAACAGGGACCAGAAAACTCGAAAGAAGGAAAAGAAGTAAAGAGAAAATGCAAAAAGAAACAACACCTTGAGCTGCATGTTACCTGCTTTATTGGTAAGCCAAAGAGAGCGCTGACAGGACGGAGCAACGGCTCCACTCTGAGAAAAAACGAAAAAATACCAAACACAGAAACAACAAATACAATTAAACGAACGGCAGCAGAGGGACACAAATAGGGCTAATCATAAGTACTTAAACATTTCTCTGCACATGAATGGACTGTAGATATGTGGGCAAAGACACACATTTATAGTTATATACATATAAGCACAAGCACATATAAATTAATGCATGCATCAATGTACGCATGCATGCATGTATGCATGCATGCATGCATGCATGGATATATGCAGTTACTTGAGCAGGCCAGACCTGCACTTCTGGTGTACAAACACTACGCCACGCCTGCCCACGTAAATATTGGAGGGTGTATTAACATAAATGCGCACTTTAAAAAATAATATTTGAATATAATTTAAATACAAAAGCATATTTTTCGTTGTTGCAGCGGCTCACTGCTGCGCTCGCTCAGTGCCCATCCCCAGGCAGCCAAAAGGCGACAGCCCACAGCCCAGCAGCATTCCTGTGTCTGAGAGCAGCAGCGAATAGCCGGAACCACAGGCTGCCTGCCGAAGCCTCACTTGCTGCGCAAAACGCACAAACCCTAAACCCTAAACCCTAAACCCTAAACCCTAGCGCCTCTTGGAAGGTGACCCCAGGTCCTCAAAACTTTAACCAGAAACCTACATTTTTGGTGTATATACACCGCAAAAGATGAGGATGAACAACAGACCCTAGACTCTCAGCCACAGACAAAAACAGCCCTACGAACCTTAAACCCTAAACCCTGAAGCGCATGCGGCCTCCACCGTAGTTAAAACCTGCTAAGGGGGTATACATGATTATCAATAATTAGGCTTCGATTTACCTGTCCCTGAAGCTGAGGAATAGATCTGTCTATTTGCATTGCTTGCGGGTTGAAATGGCTAAGAGATAAAACCGAAGGGCCTCGGCCCAACTGGCCGAATTCGTTGCTGCCGAAAGCAATGGCAGCTGTACATACACCGCAGAAACACCAAGCAAAAACAGGTACCGAAAAGCAATGACAGCTGTTCATACACCGCAGAAACACCAAACAAAAACAGAAAAAGATGCTATGTCCCTTAATGGCAGTTGATTTAATTTTATTTCTGGTTTCTTCTGTTTGTTCTTTCGAGTATACCACAGCGCAGCCAAGACAGCAGCAGCAGCTGTACACACACCTCCTCCACATGGCTGCAATTAATCAGTGAGGTTTAAACAGCTCATTTGACTGCTATTTAAATTATTGCGAGATCAAAAGGAGACAGAGACAGGGAAGCCACAAAAACAAGAAGAAAGAAACAAAAGATCTCCTGAAGGAGCGTGAAAGGAAGACAAATAGGACAAACAGAAAAACTGCAGCACTTAAAGACACTGTGGGGCCAGAAGACACAGAGAGCCCCAGGACCCAGAGCAGCAGCAACAGAAAAAGACAGAGAGAAAAAGAGCAGCAACAACCAACCCCACCCTCCCCGCAGCAACAGAAGCAACAGCAGCAGCAGCAGCAAAAGCAGGAGGCCTCATGGCCAGTGTCGAGGACCGCAATGGTGTGGCAAGCAGCAGCAGCAACGGAAACAGCGCCTCGAATGCCTTCGCAAAGTCGCGGCCTCTTGATGTACTTGTCGCCGTCGATGTCTATACACCCGAACTCATTCAAACCCCCACCCCACACACTCTGTCTTCCGTCCCACAGCCAAGTGCGGTCGAGTCCCAAGCAGCAGCCACAGATGGTTTTGTTTTCCAGTTTAGAAATAAGTCTCGGGGGGCACCCCCCCGCTGCTGCTGCTGCTGCTGCTGCTGCGTCGGCCTCCGGCTTCTTCGCTGCTGCTTCTGCTTCCTTCGGCTCCCGCCCTGCAGCAACGGACAGCAGCTGCCCGCAGTCGTTCAAACCCCACAAATAAATTTGAAAGTGAGGAGAAACACAAAAAGATTCCGAGCCTTGTGCATGCAGCGAGAGGCACAAGCTGCCTTCTCGGTTCAAGTTTGCTGCTGCTGCTGCGAGCGCTGGGCTCGCTGCTGCTGCTGCTGCTGCCGGCGCTGATGCCGGGCCTGCTGCCGAAGCTACTGCTGCTGTCGGCGACTCCCTACACTGCGGGGAAGCAGAACGCTGCGTAGCAGCACGAGTCAGCGTTGCAGTAGCAAGCGGCTGCGCAGAGGACTCTTTTGCTGCTGTTGCTGCTGCTACTGCTGCTGCGACTTCTGCAGGCGGCAAGCTGCTGCTGCTGCTGCTCAGAATGTTCTTCGTGTGTGCCAGGGGCTGCTGCTGCTGCTGCTCCGTCCGCGTCCGCTGCTGCTGCTGATGTGCTGCTTCCGAATCCACCAGAGCATCAGTTGGATGCAGGCTTACCGCTTCAACCAGCTGCAGCTGCTGCTGCTGCCCCGGATCCTGGGGCTCCTGCTGCTGCTGCTGCTCATTTTGCTGCTGCTGCTGCTGTTGACGCCTGTGGCGGTGCAGTGGCCAGAGGCAACCCGACAGATGCAGCGGCATCGCTGCAGCAGCCTCTCTTAGGCTGCAGCCGCAACAGCAAAGCCTGCTGCTTCTGTTGCTGCTTCTCCTGCTGCTTCTTCAGCTGCTTTGGCTGCTGCTTCTGCTGCTGCTGCTGCAGGTAGACCGCTACTCCTGCGGCTGCAGCTGCAGCTGCGGCTGCGGCGGTGTGGCTGCTGCCACTGCTGCTGCTGCTGACTCTGCCGAAGCCGTGAGATGTCAAGGCTGCGGGTACGGCGGCTGCAACAGGTGCTTCTGCTGTGAAGCTATTGCTGCTGCTGCTGCAGCAACTGCTGCTGCTCAGTCTCGAGTGAGGCGAGGTGGCAAGGGCTGTTGGTTGGAGTTCATCTGCTGCTGTCTCCTGAGCGCTGATTCAACAAAAATAAAACGAAGAAGATCGAGAGGGCCCGCTTTTCGGTTCAGTTGGAAAGTGCAGCAGCCGTTACTGCTGCTGCTGCTGTCGATGGCGATACCAGCCAGGCTCCCGCTGACCTGTACCTCAAGTAATACCTACTCAGGAGAGTTTAGATTTGATCTAATACTATTTGTTTTCAATTTTTAAATTTATTTACCAACTAGGTTCCAGGGAAAACTCGATATCTAGGGGGTGATGGGCAGCTCGTGGCGGGACCGCCAGGCGAGGCGCCGCCGCGGCTGGTTGTTTGTTTGCGTTTCGGGTGAAGAAAACGTACTCAGGAGAGCATTTGAATAAATATCAATGGCAAAAAGAGTCAAAAATAGACAAAATCAGCTTGATGGTGCTGCAGCTCGAGAAATATCACCGAAACGGTGCTGCTGGCTTCTCAGCTGTTTGTATGCATCGCGGTGAAGACCAGATCTCCTCCTCCGCCTAGCCCGCAGCCCCTTCGGCAAATTTAAAACCTAGTTACATTAATTTAAATTAATTCAATTGCTAATCAGCGAGATATTCAAAACGCCGCAGCTGCTGGATGTGCGTGCGCTGCAGCGCCTCGCGACAACCCCCACACACGGCTATTCAGGCTCATTCGCGGTGAAGCAAGAAAATAATAACTCTGAGACTTCACTCTTGGAAAGAATTATCTTCAAAGTCATTTTTTCTCAATGAAATCCCCCACTCACTGCCGCCGCAGCCGTGTTTCCGAGTGTCTCATTGAATTCTTGGACTTTGGGATTTCAAAATTGCAGAGACGAACTTGCAAAAGTGGCATTTTTCGAGCTCAACTTCTGCAGCAAATGCATGCAAAGCTGCTGCTAACTTCCCCTGGATGTTTACGAGTTGTTTCTGGAGATGAAGTGGTTTAATGGGCTTCCGCGTGAGCTGCTTTCTTTGAACTTTCTTGTTCGTTGAATGGCGCCAATTCAGTTTCTTCTGCGCTTACTTCAAAGTGGCCAAACTTGGGACTTTATTCTTGAGGGGCCCCAGAGGCGGGGCTTCACTTCTTGCTGCTGAGCAGCAGCAGCAAAACGAGCGAAGTAGGAAACTGCTGTAGCTCTTCTGCCTCTCAGTGGCTCTTCTTTTTAAATCTAATAATGTGTATTTCATGTCCTCTTTAGATCTAATAAAGTACATTTCATGTTTTTGCAAAAAAGTCAAAAAGCCCTTTTGCAAAAACATGAAATGTAATTTTCTTATTGGGGCCTCCTGTTCTGTCATGCAGGCCCAGCCCCCGCGAGGCAACAACAGCAAGACATGGCTAGCCACAGCTAGCCACAGCTAAACACAGCTAGCCACAGCTAGCCACAGATAGCCACAGGTAACCGTAACTAACCGCAGCTAACCACAGCTAGCCACAACTAACCACAGCTACCCACAGCTAGCCACAGCTAGCCACGCCCAGCAGATTGCATCTAGCCACCGCTTTTTGTGGGCTGCGCAGGTAGGGATGGCTAGCCACAGCTAGCCACCCCTACCTGCAGCTAGCTAGCCGCGCCTCCTGCGGTAGCTAGCCAGAGGTATTGCCCCTCAATCAGCTCTCATTTGGTCTTCTCCGATTTTCAGGGTTTTGCATTTGCTGTTTCTTCAAATCTTTTCACCCAAGTTCTTCTTTGAATCTGTTTGTTGCACAAGCTCCTTCCTTTGCTGCACTTTGGTGCAACAGCAATTTGTGCTGAAGTACACCCTAAACCCTAACTCTAAACCCTCCAGCCAAACCCTAAACCCTAGCTCCAAGTCCCGTAAACCCTAGACCCTACTTCCAAACCCTGCTCTCTAAATCCTAACTCTGAGCCTCACGCACTAAACCCTAACTCTAAACCCCTTGCCCTAAGCCCTAAATGTAAGCCGCGAGACCTAAACCCTAAACCCTAGTTGCAAGCCCCACGGCCTAGACCCTAAGCGCAAACACTAAGAACCAAACCCTAAACCCTAACTCGAGTGCTATGAACTCTCTACTGGGTCTCAACAGCCACAAATAAATGAAAGCAAATGGGCCTACGTAGTGTCGAGTCTTTGCAGCTTCCCCAGGTTAGCCGAGCCAAACCCTAAACCCTAAAAAAGGGTTTAGGATAGGCTTTCGAAGATATGCGGGGGCAGCTGCCTTTAAATGAACTGCCAATTCAGGGTTAAGAAAGCACTTGGCGTTGCCTTCAGGTGTCTGTACACCCCAACAGCCCGTCCTCCCTAGCTCTATTTCTACCAGTTGTGTATTCTCTTTGTAATATGAATAAACACAAATATATAAATATATATATATGCATATATATTTACTTACGCCTAATTATATACTTTTTACTGAAACAAGCCCGCAAAGCAGCAGCAGCAGCAGCGAATGTGCTGCTGCAGCAGCGGTAGCAGCTGGGGCGCGGAACGCCCCGGACTTGCTGCTGCTGCAGCTGGCAAATAAAGACAAAGTGGATTTTGAGCTTTAAACTTTTTTAATCACTTTAATCAAATGCAAAGAGTTGCAGAGTTTGTCCCATTTCGGGTGTGGGGCAGCGGGCCAGGCCAGCGCCCGCAGCCCTTAGAGAAGCAGCAAAGAGCCCGCAGCGCATTTGTGCAAGACATGCAGTTTGCATTTTAATTCTTGAAAGAAGAACTAAATAGAATAAATAATAAATGCAATTCAAGTGCATGCAGCTGCACACAGATGCACCCAAGGCCCAAACAAACATTCGGGCTTCCTCCTTTTCTTGTTCCCTCTCGGCAGCAGCCGTCGCGTACGTACACCCCAAGTGTACGTACACCCCACAGCTCAAATGCCGGCTCTGATCCCAAGCGCAGCCGCAGCAGCAGCGCCAGCTGCTGCCGCTGCTGCAGCAGGGGCCCCTGCAGCTGATTACCTGCCGCGGAAGCCCCCCCCGCGGGGGCCCCCACGGGCCCCCCGGGGGGCCCCCCGACCCCCACGGCCACGGCCTCGGGCCAGAGGCCGCAAACCCGTCTCGCGGGGGGGCCTCTGGATGGGAGTGTCGTCAATGAGCAAAGTGTCGAGAGGCAGAGAGTCGGGGAGAATGAAGTAGCGAATGTTGCTGCCCCGAATGGTGAGGTGGTCCATAGAAACTGGGTTGGAGTGCTTGACAGTCAACTTGACGTTTTTCAAGTGCGTGTTCATCGCCACGTCCACTCCCACTATGGTGCCGTGCACCACTGTGCCGTTCTTCAGCTCCAAGACCAGCGTCTCGTTCGCCAGCCGCATCAAAAACCGAACCAACTTCATCTTCGCGAAATGCGGAGAAGTCCGGCGTGGCGCGCAAGCCTGTCAAGTCGAATCCGAGGCACCGGCGGCAGCGGCGGCGCGATGCTGCGGGGAACCAGCCCGGGGCGCGGAACTGGCGGACTCAGAGAAGCAGAAAAAAAGAATCACAAAGGCAAAGTTTCCAACAATCCGCATCCAAAAAATTAAACAAAAATTCAGCCACGAAGAGCTGGGACCTATGGAGAGGGGAGCCCACCGGTAATGCTGCCCTGGAGCCGACACAGACGCGCCGGCCTGCCGGGTTTGACGCCACCTCGGCGCCTCAAACGGACTTTAAGGAAATAATAAAGAGGTAAGTTCCCCAAAAACTCCAGAAAGAAGCAAAATCTGATGAAAACGGGACTCGGACCAGTACGCCTCCCACCTGCATGCAGCAGCTGTACTTACACCTGGGGCCTGCCTGCTTATCCGGGGCTGGCTGCTGCAGCCTTCAAGCCAGTTTCTTTAATTTGTCGCAAATTCACTGGGTTTTAGACATTAAAATCAGTTAATTTCGGCTACTGAGCTGCGTTGATTAGCGAGACGAATGTGTAGGACCCTTTCCCGCCGCGCCGGGGGTAACCCTAGAGTGCACTGTTTCCCTTACTGGGCGGAGGGCTCCTCGGACTGCAGCATTTGTTCTCTAAAAGAGGAGTTGGCGATCAAATCTAGTGTAACTTGACAAAATATTATCTAGTTAACCATATGCTGGCTGCAGGACTGCTAAATGGGTCTCTAAGCCAGTGAAGGTCAGGGCTTTAATGACCACCAGAGGAAATACTGATAGGCAACATGCACAGCGGTTAAGGCTACGGTCGCGCACACCGTGCTTGTCGATTTGTGCTCAATCAGATCTCATAATCTGCACAATTTTGTGCCCTAGATGTTCCAATGAATAAAAACTGTTGACGTCGGTGCACAAGAGTATGCCAGGGCCGCTGACTAGCTCAATAATGCCACACGCTACTACTCTGCCGTCACTTGCCGGGACACCGCTGACAGTTGCCCTCCTGCTTTTGGTCTTCGAGAAAAATTGTTTTTCTGTGTGTGAAGCTCCAGCTTTGTTGACTGGTTTGGGGCCGACATCCTGGAGCCGCTGGCATAGGTTCTTGCACTGCGGTTGGCCCTACGACCCATACGCAAGTGTTAGTCACGTTAGGCGAGAAATCTTTAAAAAGTTACATATCGTAGCCTTTCTTTGATTTTCATTAGCGTTTCTTTTAGCTCAGTGCTGCACGGGGAACTTGAGCGCATGAAACGTTTCAGTCAAAAGCCCGTTGACAGGGAAGGCCCTTCAGTGAGAACGTACAAACAAGCCACAACAAACGAGCAGTGGGTGAACAAGATAGCGATAGGGACACAGTACAGCGACAGAACAGAAGCTTTGGACCGAAGTGGGGCATCATTTTGTAAGACGCAAAACCGCGTCTCCCACGTTTGCATGTGCTAGCGATAGTTGATGAAGGATGGTTTGGAGTTTAAGACCCTGTGAGCACCGTACTATGGGAATGGAGGCATTTTGAAGGCCTGCCGATGCCACTGAATCGCCTATCTGCGTAAGGGAATAAAATTCACGACTCAGCGAGTGGATAATGCCGTGACTAATGCTCTCAGCCAGCAGCTAGGGCATCGTATTTCTTTCCTTGGCTTCATTTGCGATTTGGTTGTCATTTGCAGGTTCTTGCAGTGATATTTGAAATAAATCTCCACTGCTATTTCTGTTGAGTGGCCTTGCAGCAAAATTGGGTCCACGATCATTGTTTCTGTAGTAGCAGCATCAATGTTACAGTCAGCCAGTGCCTTCGCCTGAAAAGCCGCCAAAGAATGCAAATTCAGTTGAGGACCTGCCAAAGCTGATCATAACATTTCTGGAGCTCTCCTTATAGAATGTTTTCGTTGCTGACAATGAATGCCAGTGCGCCTACGTGGAACAGGAAATCTTCCGCAGTGATACTAAAGACGGGTGGTCTTCTGGGGAAGTATCGGCTCTAACAGATACTAATTGCGTCTCTTCGCCAAAACCTGAGGATTCGGCAATTGTGTGCTTATGTAGTGGCGTTTAGCCAACACGTCTACGTCCTTTCTTCGTTGTCTTCGGCTTGAGCAATGTTCCAATCACCGCGAGCTAAAGAAGAAAGGCCAAGCAAATATTGCCATGTGCAAAGGCGTTATTGTGCGTGGCTTTATTTTAATTGAGTGCTGCACTTTCTTTGTAATATCAAAAGTAGTGATCGTGGGGTCGCTCCGCATAGCCAGTGCATCTAACCCTGGCCTGTCTACTCTTTCTGCTACAGAAGCATTTAAGAGTTGGCGTGTGTAGACACGCAGAGAGATATAGCCTGGAGCAAGATAGTTGCCAGAAACTGCACGCCCGAGATACCTTAAGGCCTTAGATGTGGCAACTTGAGCCTGACTGTTTGTTACCCTCTATTTGAGAGGTGTTTGTGCCTTGTACGGCAAACAGTCATTTTCTTTGTTTGCCTCTTTCGACGCTTGTATTCAAGCGGAATCCGATCTAGCCTGCGGCAATTATAATGCTATCTTTCCTGAGTGGAACAATAGGCACTCTTTGGGGAGAATGAAGTGGCATGAGCGCACAAGAAAGCGCTGATGGCTAGGCCGCTGAGGTGGGTTTGTGAGTATCTAGATGGCATGAGGCGCAGTTAAGGCATTGCTTTTAAGCTGTGCTGAGACTTAGTCAAAGCCGTAACTATCCTCAACTGCACTGCTACGACCAGAGACTTGGCATATCTCGCGTGACGCAACGTTTTATGTCTGATTGATGAACAACAAATACGCACACTCCTCTTGAAGCAAGTCGCCAGTAAAACTGATACGACAACTTCTGGCGGTCGGTAGACTTGATAGCTCATTGATCGGAGGTTTCGCTTGGGTGACAGTCTTTTGAACTTCGCGCGCCACACAGAGCGTCCCTTGTGAGGGATAGAAACCTTTCCTATGGTATGGGACTTGAAGACGCTTCAACTGGATATGAAATGACTAGAATCCTCCGCACTAAGAAGTGGGTGTAGTCATTACGCTTTTAAGATCAAACAAGAGAACTAACTTGCTCATCCAGATCATCTTATTTTTAAAGAAGTTTCTGTTAATGCTCCAGAAATTTGCTCGTTAGGGAAATCGGATCGCTGATGCCACCGATTTACGCGGTTCCGTTCACACTTATAAAAGATCACAGTGCCACACTTGATTTTCCTCTAATTATAGTTGCTCGTTATGCAGGACGCTGCCGGTGAATTCCGGCTTCACAAGATGCAAAAAAGGAAGACCAGTGGTATTGCAGGATCTCTGGGGAAACGTTCCTGAAGCTTATGAAAATACTTGAAGATTCAAATACTGCGTAAGTTAGACAAGAAACTTGCGATCAAGTGACTGCATCATGCATTAGGCATAATTCCCACCACTACGTTGAAGCGCAGACTTGGCCACTAGGGTCCTATAATTCAGAATGTGTAGATTGATATGATACGTGGAAGTTGTAATCACGCAAACAAACACGTCTACAGAAGATCAGGCTCAGAGCAGTCTGCAGTTAGGCGCAAAGTTCAGGGCTGGCAAGAGGCAGTGAAGCTGCAGCGCGCAGCATTGCCATGCAGGAAAGGAGAAATATACTAGAGGCGGCGCACATATTCCATTGGGAAATTGACCTAGATTAATGTTGCTCGGGCCCTTTTATTGTGCAAACGGCATTTTTAGCGAGTAATGTTAGATATTAGCCCATTTACCTTACACGGGAGTTGTGCGTTCCCTTAAAGAAACAGTACTATTCGCCTGACCTGTTGTACTTTTCTGTTTGGCTCGCAGTATGCTGAACACGAGAGTACCAGTACATATATGGGCACTACGTATCAAGACACTGCATGGAGGTGGATATTTTGGTAAGGAAACACTTCTAGAAATAATAATCCTAGTAGGCTGGTTATGAGCGACTGGATCAACGGGTTCACATGTTCACGAGGAAAATGACCAACGTGAGATGAAAAAAGTAGGCTCTTGATTCAATGCTGCGTCACTGAACATTTTCCTCCATCCTCCCAATTCCCCAATGAACACAAAGCTTTTCCACTCGAAAATTATACTCCCACTTTCACAAACAAATTATGTAGTACTCTGTGCTTGCAGGCGGTGGGGTGGGGAAGTTCAACAGGCTAGCGTATGGTATGGCCATGGGGCTGGATCTCGCTGCGGCTCCTAGCAAGTGGCCACGAAAGCAGTGTAGCAAATGACACAAAATATCTTCAGTATTTTAATATTGTTAATAGGTGAGCTATCCCACACCTTGGCTGTTTGCCGAGCAGTTGAGTTCGTTGAAGCGTTTCAGTAGAGAGAGCTGAACGGGCTAACGAATGGTCAAATACTGTAAAATGAGACAATCCTGCCCTATCTTTTCTACTTGATGCTAGAAAGCGGAGACTGTGTTGAATTGGACTTAAACGTTTGGCAGGTTGTGCTGATCGCCGTACCCGTGGAGGCCGCAGAATCTTACACATGCATAACAGTTAACTATTATAAGCTATACTTATTGTGTAGTGTTTATTTTCTCTTGCAGATGTGCTTTAATGCACTGTTGATGCCAATACAAACGGTTTACTATTGCCACGAATGAGTTAAAGTCATTATTCACTTTCTTACTACCTAGTATCGGCCAGCTATTCATGAAAACAATGTAGACAAACTATGAACAGAGTGCCATTGCTGTGGCAGCAATAAAGCCGTGAGCCTCGTGTTTTGCATTGTGTAAATTTCCAGAGTTGTCCCCGAATGTCAGCTTTAAACCGGAGGCGGTAAACACATGGTAACGCAACAAAATTTGTGAACGAAATGCTGAGGGCTAAACCGCCACTATCTCAGGTCTTGCCAGAAGAGATATATCAGAAGTACCAAATCGGTAGCTCTTTATACGAGGACGCCGCGTATATCTTGTGAAGTGACTGGCCATCTTTATTCTGCAGCCAGGCTGTAGCTCAGTTGCCCTTAGCCACTTAGGGAATTAAGTAGACAGCTCAGTGTGCATGAAATAAATAGTCGTAAATAGTCTTAAGGGTCCGGACAGCATGGATGAACACCAAAGCCCTTCAGATATTATGAATTTTCATATAATCTGCAAAATAACTTAAAAAGACATTCTATAATGTAGCAACGAAAACAGAAATTTGTTGCAGCACTTCTTAGAGGTTTAAAAATACATATGTGAAACGCCCTATGCAAAATACCTTCATATACAGTCATATGGTGAGCCACATAATCGACTGCGGATATATTTATTAGCTGGCTCTCCAGCTAGGAGACGTTGGTGGCAGCCATATGAATCTGTTTACAAACAACGAGTGCCAAACAAACCTGTAATTATCCTCACTAGGTTTTTTTTGTAGCATTTCCTAACAGACAAACAGACCAAATGGACTTTATATCTACGCCCAAGCTCTTGAGCCGGATGCCACGAAGAGCAGCAAGTGCAGCAGCAGCTACGCTGCATGCACACCTTTGCCTACTGTGCCTCCTGACAGCCGCTGCTGCAACAGGTGGACTTGCAGGTGCAAGAAAAGGACTACAGACAAGTCTAAAGCGAGCTTCTCTAAAGGTAAATGTGGAGACAGACTTGGTAAACGTTGAGCCCGCGCCAGTGGCTTCACTTTGTCAGGATGATCAGCTTAGAGGATTACATAAGAATGAGGCTACGGTCGCTTTCCTACTTCTCCATATGGCTAGTTGCAGCTGGCGAGCGAATGCATGTGGCTAGCTGCAGCTAGCTAGCTAGTGAGTATGGCTATTTGCAGCTAGCTAGCTAGTGAGAGTGGCTAGATAGAGGACCTACGTGAGTTTCAATTATGAATGGGGCTGGGCCGCATGCAACCGGCTGCCTATTCATATTGCCTTGTGCTACTGGGGTAGCCGAACTGCTCCTCTACATGCTGTCCCACGTTAAAAATGGCGAATTGAGGTCTTTCAATTGTGTTTAATGAATTAATTAAACTAATTGTTTACTTATTTCCACTTTCCCCCGGTACAAGTCTGTTTCTGCCGCGCTGTGCGTACACTGGAACAACCGCACCACCCCCCAGCCCCCACCCCTTGGGGGCTGTTTCGTTTGCTGCATTTTCTTTGGCTGCGTTCTTGTTTTAAAACAAAAGGATATTTTTAAATTTTATTTCTCTGTTTCACACCGAAGACTTCCTTTGTAGGGCTTCGGACTTAGTATTTATTGCTGCTGTACCGCTGCAGCCGAGCGCCGCAGCACAGGGGCCCGGGCCCCTCCTGGCTCCCTCCCTAGCCACGATTATTTGTCTTTTCCCTTTTACTTTTCTTTTAAAGTATTTTATTTGCTTTCTTTGTCTTGCTAAGTAGACCCTAGGAGCTGCTGGAAGCCCCGGCCGGGCTCCCCGCTGTGGACCCTGCCAGCCTCAATTAGGGTTTGTTTCTCTTGCTGCTGCTGCCCAAACCCTTCTTTTTCCCCTTTTCCTTTCATTTATTTCTCCAATGAGCTGATAAAAGGACAGAAAAAGCCCCAAGTCCGCCAAACGCATGCAATAACATGCGCAGGCCCCACCCCCGAGGCCTCGCCTTAGCCCCGCGGCCTCACGTCGACGCGGGGCCCCTCAAGGGGGCCCCCGCAGGCCCCTCGGGGGCCCTCCAGGGTACACTAGGGGGCCCCCCGGGGCCCCTCAGGGGCCCCTGTGGGGTCCCCCACCCCCAGCAGCCTGCCCACGGCTATGCCGGCAGCAGCCTTTATGAATGTGGGGCCCCCAATTATCCCCTTGGGGTCCCAGAGGACCTTCAGCAGCCCACCAGCATGGGGGCCCCTGAGGGGGCCCCCCTGGAGGGCCCCCCGGGGGCCCCCCAGGGGGCCCCCCTGGGGGCCCCTGAGGGACCCTTGAACTCGGAGGGGGAGGAGTACGGCTGCTGCGACATTGGCTGCAGCTGCTGCCAGCAGAGCGCTGACCACTATGCTGCTGCGGCTGCTGTGTGTGACTGCTGCAGTGCAGCAGCAGAAGCAGCAGCAGCAGCAGACGCAGGGTGGCCTGAAGATAGCCAGAGAGATGACCCCCAAAGCAGCGAAGAAGGAGGCTTTTGCTGCGAGGGCTGCTGCTGCGGCTCCGCCACAGAGCCTGCAGAGTTGGGAGACTCTTACGGCAAAGCAGCAGCAGCAGCTGCTGCTGCTGCCGATGCAGCTGCAGCAAACGCAGCAGCAGTTGGGAGACAGCGAGTCGGCCGGGGCCGCCTCGACAAGCGAGCTGTGCTGCAGCGGGAGCTGCAGGAGCTGCACCGCAAGCAGCAGCAGCTCTTAGAGCGGCACCAGCGGCTGCAGCTGCAGCGGATGCAGCAGCAGCAGCTGCAGCAGCAGCAGCAGCACGCAGGCCGCAGCACGAGCCCCGTCGGGATCCGGCGTCCCCGGGGGCAAAAGAGAGCCCCATGGGATGTAAGCAGCACCAGCAGCAAGTGTAGCAGCGTAGCAGCAGCAGCAGCAGCAGGATCAGCTGATGCAGCAGCAGAGGCAAAGACTAAGCCAAGCGTCTGCAGCCTCACATATTACTCTGTGCAGACTTATTAATTTGAGCTTGAGAATTTGCTGCAGTGGTGCTGCTTTGCTGCAGTGGTGCTGCTGCCACGCAGCAGCACTCCACTACCAGCAACAGCTGCAGGAGCTGCAGCAGCAGCAGCTGCTGCAGCAGCAGCAGCAATTTGTGCGTGTTTGCGTGTCTGCATGCAGGGGGATGTCCACGACATGTCTCAGCTGCGGGCAACGCCTACGGAGCAGCTGCTGCGGCGGCTGCGCAGCACAAGTCCCCATTCTGCTGCTGCTGCTGCTGCTTACCGGCAGAAGCTTGCTGCTATGGAGACAGACCTGAAGCCTTTTGTGGAGGTCTACAAGATGAAGTACAGCGGGCAGCAGCAGCAGGAGCTGCTGCAGCAGCAGCAACGGAAAATGCGGGTGGCTGCTGCACGAGCAGCAGCAAGCCGCAGCAGCAGCAGCAGACGCAGCATGCACGACCTCGACTACCTTGGCACTCAGCAGCAGCAGCAGCAGCAAAAGCACCAGCAGCATCGCCACCACCACTACCCGCTGCTGCAGCAGCAGCAGTACAAACTGCAGCTGCAGCGCCACCAGAAGCAGCAGCAGCAGCAGCAGCACGACTTGCTGCTGCTGCAGAACGGCAGCAGCACAGCACGCGGGGTCACCGGAGAAGCTCCCCTACGCCGGGGCTCTCCCAGCCCCCAGCGGCGGCCCCGCACTGCGAATTTGCTGCGGCGTTCCTTCCGCAGCAGCAGCAGCAGCAGCAGAAGCAGCAGCAGCAGAAGCAGCAGCAGCAACGGGAAGCACCGCAGACGGCGTCGAGTTCGAAATACGTGCAGCAGCTGTTCTGCTGCTGCTGCTGCTGCTGCGCAGGTGCAGGCAGCCCTTGGAGCTGCCTACGCACCGCAGCTGCAGCAGCAGCTGCTGCTCCAGCAGCAGCAGCTCCTACAGCAGCAGCTGCTGCAGGCGCCTGTTCCGCTGGGCTCACTGGGAACTTCTCTGTCACAGTCGCATGCCTTTGCTCTGCCGCAACTGCAGCAGCAGCAGCAACAGCAGCAGCAGGCTTCTGACGTGGAGAAGGAGCTGCAGCTGCTCGACGAAATCCACAGACAGCTGCGGATGATCGAGTTGGCAGAGGCACAGACAAGTTCCAGCCCGTTGCAGCAGCAGCAGCAGCAGCAGCAGCAAGCAGTGCAGCAGCTTCAACCAGCGCATCAGCAGCAGCAAACAGCCTCGCAGCACCAGCAAGCCCCGCCGCAGCAAATGCAGCAGCAGTTGCAGCAGAGGCTTCAGCAGCAGCCGCAACTGCAAGTTCCGCAGCAGCAGCAGCAGCCATACCAGCATCTGGAGGAACAGCGACTTCTGCAGCAACAGCAGCAGCAAACTCCGTTAGCACAACAGACACTCCAGCCGCTACAAGCTGAGCTAGTGCAGCAGCAACTGCTGCTGCAGCAGCAGCAGCGCCTGCTTGAGCGCCGGCTGAAAGAGCTGCAGGAGCAGCAGCTACTGCTACAGCAGCAGCCGCAGCTGCAGCCCGATAACGCACCCCAGCAGCAGCTGCTGCAGCAGCAACAGCAGCAGCAAGAGGAAACCCTGCTGCAGCCAGCAGCACCACCCCTCCGCTCTCCTGCACCAGCCATCTTGCTGGACATGGGCCCCCCAAGAAGCAAGGGGGGGCCCCCAAGGGGCCCCTCAGGGGGCCCCTTGCTGGAACTGCAGGTGACCTCGGCGCCTCAGCAGCAGCAGCAACTGCAGCAGCAGCAGCCGCAGCAGCAGCAGCAACATGCTGTTGGTCCGCTGCTGCAGCAGGAAGCAGCGGCAGTTTTGTCTGAGGCATTTATGCCCGCTGCTCCAGCAAACACGAGAGGTGCAGCAGCGTCAGCAGCAGTGCCTGTTGCTGCTGCTGCTGCTCCACCCCCCCAGTTTGTAAATACGCAGCAGCAGCAGCAGCAGCAGCAGCAAGAGCTTCCTGGAATGCCGGAGGAAGCCCCGCCTGCTGGTGATGCTGGTTGGGCAGAGAGCCTGCAGCAGCAGTTGCTGCTGCTGCAGCAGCAAGAGCAGCAGCTGCTGCAGCAGGAGGAATTTCTGCGGCTTCAGCTTCAACAAAAGAAGTCTGCGCGCTGCAAAAATAAAGAGGCTGCAGCCACGGACTCCCCAGATAAGCAGCTGCAGCAGCAGCAGCAGCAGCAGCAACTGGTGCAGCACCGGGAGGCTTTCGTGTTGCTGCAGCAGCAGGAATGGTTGGAAGCCCCGCTGCTGCCGACACAAGTCTCAAGTGAGTGCAAAACAGAGGTAGAGTTTGTCCTCGACGCCAAGCGCTATCTCTAAAAGCAGCAGCAGCAGCAGCAGCTGCTGCTGCTGCTGCTGCAGCAGCGGTTGCGCGCACAGCAGTAGCAGCAAGAATAGTGCGACATACTGCGGACTGTGTACCAGTGAATCGTGAGGTCATTCTGCTGTAAACTGGCCATGGCTGGTGAAAGCCCTGCAGCAGCTGCCCGTGCTGCTGCTGTTGCTGCTGCTGCAGCAGCTGCTGCTGAAACCAGCAGCTGCTGCTGAAACCATTTGTTGCGTCTGTGTTTGGGAGCATCTTTAAAAATCAAAACCTTCTAAAGGCCGCGTGCGAGTCTCAGCAGCGATTGCTGCCTCACCTGCTGCTGCCGCAGCAGCTGCAGCTGGTGCAGCAGCTGCAGCTGGTGCAGCAGCTGCAGCTGGTGCTGCAGCTACAGCTGCTGCAGCAGCTGTACCTGCTGCGGCTGCAAGCTCAAGTTTAGTGCTGCTCTGTAGCTTTAGACCTGCTGCATGCAATGGGGGCCCCCCTCCCGCAAGCCCTCTTGAGAGACCTGCAGGAGCAGGGGGCCCCCGCCTTGCTGCTGTGACCACTGGTCTGCTGCTTCGAGGCACTGCAGCAGCAGCAGCTCCCGGTAAGGGGAGAGGGGCCCCCCTTGGCAGCAGCCCCCCAATTGCAGCCGCAGAGACGGCAGGTGGGCCCAGGCCCGACCCAGAAACGAGACAGGGGCCCCTGCAGCACAACCACGCAGCAGCAGCAGCAGCAGCACAGAGCGGGCAAGATAAAAAATTGGCCAAACGAAAAAGCGACTCAGCGTCTACGCCTGTGCAGCTGCAGCAGCAGCAGCAGCAACTGCTGTTGCTGCCGCTGCTGCTGCAGCAGAAGCTGCCCCACCTGCTTCTGTTCGGGAAGCAACAGCGGTGGTGGCCACTGCAGCAGCAGCTCCTGTTGCTGCACACAGCTGCAGCAGCAAAAGCCCCACACGCAGCGCAGCCCGCCGCACCCCCAGGGGGCCCCCCTGCAGGGCTGGATGCAAAACTGAACTCAAACCATCAACAACAACTATTCCTATGGGGGGCCCCCCATGGGGCCCCTCGCTGGGGGCCGCCTGGCTGGGGGGCCCCTGGCTGGGGAGCCCCTGAGGCCCCCCGTGGGGCCCCTGGCTGAGGAGCCCCTGACTGAAGGGGCCCCCTTGGGGCCCCTTGCTGGGGCTGTCCTGACTAAGGGGGCCCCCTAGGGGCCCCTGGCTGCTGGGGAGCCCCTTACTGAGGGGGCCCCCCTGGGGCCCCTCGGTGGGGCCCCCCTGACTGGGGGCCCCTTGATTAGGAAAGCCTATGGGGGGCCCCTCGGTAGGGGGGCCCCCAAGGGGGCCCTGGCTGGCGGCTGTTTGGCCGTGAGAAGCCCCGGGGGGCCCCTGGCTGGGGGCCCCCAGATGGGGGGCCCCCTGCTGGGGGCCCCCAAGACCCTGGAGACCCAAGAAAGGGGCAAAGACCTCTAGGGGGTGGGGGGCCCCCCCAGCAGCAGCAGAAGGGCACAGGGCCTCCAGCAGCTGCTGCAGTTCGCCCGCACTGAACACCCGCAGCACCACCAGCCGCTGCAGCAAAGCCTCTGCCGCTTCCCCGCTGCTGCTGCTGCTGCTGCTGCTGCTGCATGCAGCTAGGGTGCCCCTGGCAATGTCCAGAAAGCGTGAGTAGCGGAAGCTGCCGCTGCAGTCTATGAAAAGGGCACAGCCAGGGGGGACCCCCAGGAAGCTGTATTTGTTTTGCTGCGGCACTGCAGCAGGACTCAAAGAAATGCCCAAGAGGTAAGAGACACACAGCTGCAGCAGCAGCAAAGTCTTGCCGGCCCCCGAGGGGCCCAAGACTTCGCAGACGCAGCAGCCGCGGGGGAGGCCCCCACCCAAGACGCTGTCAAGCGAGGGCAGCAGCAGCGGCACCCGCCGCAGCCCCTGGTGCTGCTGCTGCTGCTGCTGCAGCAGCAGTTCCAAACACGTGGGGTGAAGGCGCAGAGCTGCTGCGGCTGCTGCAGCGGCTCCAGAGGCCGGCGCTGGCGAGGGCGCAGGGGAAGCAGCGAAGCCGCCGTTGAAGTGGCAGCGGGTGTTGCTGCTGCTGCTGCTGCTGTTTCTGCTGCTGCAGCAAGGGCTGTAGGGGCCACTGAGTAGGTCTCTCGAATGATTCTGCATTCTATGGCAGCAGGAAAAGCCAAGTAGCAGCTTTTAAGTTTCTGCTTTCCTTGCTTTCCACCTCCGGCCAGCCAGGTGCTTTCTTGGGGGCCCCGGGGGGCCCCTGGCGCTGCTAGTGGCTTGAAGAAAACGACAAGACAGATAATTATGAAATTAGATTTTCAAATTGAAGGAAATTCCATCCAAACTGCCTTGTCAAGACAGCGCGCAAAGGCAAGACAGGGGGGCCCCACACCAGGCGGCGCGGATGGCGGGGGACCCCCGGAGTGGCATAACTGAAGAAAGCCGAATAATGAATGAAAATATTCAATTAAATTAATAAAAATGTTAAATTAAATAGTAAACCATTTCTTTCACTCCATTTTGATCCTCTTCTTCTGCCAAGCAGCAAATGTAGAAGCGGTGCAGCCATGCGGCGGGCGGCTGCGGCGGAAACCTGGGCGAAAGTTCACTGAATTTGCAGCTCCAGCTGAAAATTTTTAGTCCATTAAATCAAAAAATGAATATTTCACGTTTTTACAAAATGTTTGACGGCGCAAATGGCCAGATCAGGCAGAGATATCCCCGCTGGCGACTGTTGAGTGGGCGGCGCGCGCAGTAATATGGGGGCTTTTTGCGGCTTTTTCGTTTTAATTGAATTCAATTGAAACAAAAAGTACTTTTTTGGCCTTTTGGCATTTAATTTATTCTCCTTTTCCCCCAGAGCCTCTCCCAGCGACGCGGCGTGACCAGTGGTCAGCCTGCAGCCGCCGCGCCGTGGGTGTGCCTCTTGCATTTTCTTCTTTTCCTTGGTATTACACCTGAGCTCTTTCACCTAATTTTTTGCCAACATTTTATTGAATTCCGTTTTTTGGTTCAATAAAGGGAATTTAGAAGCCCCCGCTGCGCCTCAACAGCCTTTGCTTCGTTTTGCACATTTTTTCTGTGCTAAAGTTCCTGTTCAACACTTTAATTGAGGCTAAAAAAGGGAATTTAAACCCGAAAAGATCCTTTTTGAGGTGCATGCGCCAGTTTTGTGTTAGTGCTGGCTTTCCTTTGTCTCATTATCCTTTTGGAATTTCTTTTTGCTGCCAGCTAATACACTTTTGAATGTTTTTTAACCAGTTCTTTTCGCAAAATCTCGACATAAAAACTTGAAAAACTCTGGAATTTGAAAAGGAAGAAATGGGGGCCACAGAACTCTGGAAAGCAATTCGAAATGAAGCAGCAAAGAAGACAAGTCTTTGCTGCTTCCGCCACCGGCGCCTCGCTGTAGACGTGAGACTTTTGTTGCATTGTGGCATTTAATTCAATTAATAACCATTAATCATCTGCAAACATAAGACCTTTTATTGCTTTTTGCCTTTTAATTTAATTAATTGTTTAACTAGCATTTAATAACCATTTGATAACCATTTAATGACCATTTAATTGGCTTTCAAAAGTGTATTTAGCACAGCTAGTGTTCAGCACAAGCTGCGTTGCTGTTTCTGGCTTTCCGTGCTTCCTTTGCCGTAATTTACTTGTGCATTTAATTTAAATTTATTTATTTTTTCTTTTTTAATTCAAATAATTTTATTTTCCCTTTCTAAATGCAAATCGTTTGCTGTTTGCGTTGCGCAGATCGCCGGCTGGATCGACAGGGTGCGCGTTTGCTGCAGGAAGCTGTTGAAGGGAAACAAACTTATTATAATTAATTAATAATTTATTAATTATCAATTAATAATTATATAATTTGATAAAAAAACAAAAAATGAACTTAAATTGCAAATTTAAATCAAAAGAGAGTCCGACTTCACTTGAAAGAAGAACAAGCCACATGAGACAGTCTAGCTGAATGCAGAAACATTCAAGTTTTGCTTTTTGCATTTATTTCTTTTGGCGAAACAACTCCAAATCGATTATGAAGGCATATAAAAAGTAGAAGAAATAAACACAGAGTTTTAATTTTAATTTAAAACAACACAAGTTGACAATTTCTTGTTTTTGAAAGTTATGTATTTTTTACCACCTTTCACTCGGTGCTGCAGACACCGCAGCAACTTCCGATTGCAAGAAAATGTCAACTTTTATCTTTTTCTAATCAAAATTAAAATTATGTTTTTAATTCTTAAATTTTTTTATATGCTTTTAATGAATAATCAATTTGGAGCTGTTTTCGCCAAAAGAAATAAATCAACAAGCATAATTTGCATGTTTCTGCCTCCATAAAATTAAAAATAAATTTCATAATTTCGGTGAAGTATTTATTTTCATTTTCAGAACACAATTTCTAATTTAGACTTATTCAATGAAAATTATAATCCGATTTATCTATTTATTTCAAATAAATATACTTTGTCCCATTTCACCCGGCAGTACTTGGGGAATTTTTTAAATTTGTTTTCTTTCTTTTTCCGATTCTACACTTTTACAAAATGCATAAGTCAGAGCTCCATTTAAAGACTGAAAAGTCTTTAATTCTCTTTTGTTTTCTTTAAAGGCGAGTTAAGTTCCCATTTTCTCCTTTAAGCTAATTGATGAATTTTGACTAATTCATTTTTAAAAGTAAATTAATTTAAAAAATTGAAGATGCAAAAATTAGAGAATTAAAGAAAAGCTTGAATCTATAGTTTTCTCAGAAACAGAATTTGTCGAACTTGACAAAAATGCATTTTTCAAAAATGTTTTATTTCAAGTTTGTTCTCCTGGCTGTGATGAATGCGAAGTTTAATAATTGCAGATTGAAAAATTAAATTATGCTTTTAGTTTTAAGAATAAAAATATTTTTTGTTTTTGTTTTGTTCTTTTGCGGGTTTTGCTTCAGGCGATCCGCCCTGTAGCGCTGCAGCTGCTGCAGGAGCAGCAGCAGCTAAACTCTCGTGCTGCTGCTGCTGCTGCTGCTGCTGCAGCTTCTCCTTCTGGTTTGTCTCATTCGGATTTGCCTTCTTCTCTTTTGTCTCTATTCGCTGCTGCTTGGACTTCCATTGGCCAGCAGCTTTCTTTGCTGCAGCAAGCAGAGATCGAACCGGTAAGCAGCAAAAGCAGTAGCAGCAGCAGCAGCTGCTGCTGCCGCTGCCACTGCTTCTTTCTCCTTCTGGAAAGCAGAAGCAGCTGCTGCTCTTGTTTCCTATTTTTGTTGCTGTGAAGCAGCCGCAGCGGCTGCTGCAGCTTCCCGATTCTGCTGCTGGGGAGCAGCAGCAGCTGCTGCTGCAGCTTCCTGCTTCTGCTGCTGCTGCTGCTGCTGCTGCTGCTGAAGCTCGTGTCTCTCTGATTTGGGTGTTTGCAGATATTTGTGTTTGAAGGAGCTCCTCTGAAGGCTAAAGAAGAGAAGCAGCGAAAGCGGAAGCAGTAAGACAAAAGAAGGAAAGAAAATAAATGAATTTAAATTGATTAAAAAGAAAATCGAATTTAATTTTTATTCTTGTTTATTTGCAGACTCTGCAGTATTTCTTTTTTCACCAATTCCTTTACACATTTTTGCGTAAAGACGCGTTGGGACAAAGACGCTGCTGCTGCTGCTGCTGCTGTTGCTGCTGCTGCTGTTGCTGCTGCTGCTGCTGCATGCAGGTTTGCGGCAGCTGCAGCAGCAGCAGCAGTTCGCCTGCAGGCTGCGGGCAACGCTGCAGGGGCTTTGCATGCAGCTCGTGCTGCAGCAGCAAATTTGATTGTCTTTGATTTATTTCGAATTTTTGTTCAACAGAAATTAAAGTGTTTGGGGTGTACGTACATCGTGGCCCCTTACGAAGCAAAAGCACAAATAGCTCAACTTGCTGCTGCTGGCGTTGCGGCAGCAGCAGTTTCAGACGACATGGAGCTGCTGGCATATGGCTGCACACAAGTCAGAATGGGGCTTTTGCTGCTGCTGCTGCTGCTGCTGCTGCTGCTCTTGCTGCAGCTGCTGTTGCTATCGGTGCTGTTGGCGGTGGTGCTGCTGCTGCGAAGGGTGTTGGTATTGCTGCTGCTGCCACTATTGGCTGTGGTGCTGCAGCTGCTGTTGACACTCATGCTGCTGCTGCTCTTATTTGTGCAGGCTGGTCTGGTGTGGCTGCTGCATGCAGTTGCTGCTGCTGCTGCTGCTGCCACATCTGCAGCTACTGCTGCGTCAGTGTGTGCTGCTGTTTCTCTACTAATTTTTTGTTTTGCTTCTGCTGCTTTTGATTGTTTGAATATTCATTCGTTTGTTTTGGGCGTATGTTCAGCTCCTCTCAGGCGTACGCGCAGATGGCTCTGCCTCTTTAATTTCTTTTTCTTTTTTCAACTCTTCGAAATCCCTTTCGCTGCAGCAGCAGAACTGGAGTGTACGTACACTGCAGGTGGCCAGGTGTCTGCTGAGCTTCGAAGCAGCAACGAACAAAAAGGGAAAATTCAATTTGAAGGATGCAATTGCACTTATAGACAAACACGGCGATCTGGAGGCGGTGAGTTGCACAGTGGGAATAAATGGAAAAAGGAACTTTAAAAAACAGAAAAGGTGAAAATCAACCGAAGTAGAAGACAAACTAAGCAGCAGCAGCTGCCAAGAAAGAAGCTGAGCAGCAGCAGCAACGAAAGAAATATAAACCGAGCCCTACAGAAAACCAGAACTGTCCCAAAAGTTAATAACTAAACAAAAATAAACATTTTAAGGATTAAAATCAAAAAATAGATCTTAAAATGCTAATTTCCCCGCAGATTGAACGAGGCCTCTGCGCCGCGGAGAGCGACAGACACAAATCGAGGTGTACGTACACCTCAGCAAGCGGCACTCAGAAGCTGCTGCTGGCGTACAGACACCAGACGGTTTTTGCATTTGACGAAAGCGTGAGAAAAAAGGGAAAATAAAAGGAATAAATGTGCTTTTGATTGAATTTTAACGCTAATTTACTCATTATTTACTTATTTTCTGTCTTTATGACGCATAAAAGTACTTATTTATGCGAGTTTTGCACATACTGGGAATACAAACTTAGAGGAACTTATCTTTGGCTCCAGCGAAACAGAAGAAAAGAAAAAAGAAAAAAAGGAGAATTTTAAAATAGAGCCACACAAAGGGAAACTTTGCTGCTGCAGGCATTTATTTCTTATTGTCAGATTTGAATTTTTATTTATTTCCATTTTTGAATTGATTGCTTCTTTTCAAATTTGAATTTTTGTTATTTTATTTCCACTTTTGAATTGACTTCGTTTTTGCAAATTTGAATTTTACTTTACTTCCACTTTTGAATTTATTTTTCTTCGAATTTGAATTTTAATTTATTTCCATTTTGAATTTATTTCTTGTTTGCAAATTTGAATTTTAATTAATTTCCACTTTTGAACTTATCTGTTTTTCCGAGGTTGAATTTTAATTTATTTCCATTTTGAATTTATTTGTTTTTTTTTAAAAATCTGGGTTTTAGTTTATTTCCTTTTTTGAATTTATTTATTTTGCTGCAGCACCAAATCTTATCTGTCCCCCTAACAAATCCGCCGCGGCCCCTCGACGGCCATATGCAGCAAATTGCGGGTCAGCCACTTCGATTGGCATTTTTACTTAGACAGCTAGCTGGCTAGCTGGTTAGTTATTTGGCTAGCTAGCTAGCTAGCTAGCCAAGTAACTGGATGGATGGATAGCTAGCCGAATAAATGGTCCGCTAGTTGGCTCGCTAGCTAGCTAGCTAGCCAGCTAGCTGGCTAGCTAGCTAGCTAGTCAGTCAGCTTCCGAGCCAAATAGCGAGCCAATAAGCGAGCCAGAGAGCTAGCCAGCTAGCTAGCTAGCGAGTCAGCTAGCCAGCTAGCCAGCCAGCTAGCTAGTTGGGCAGCGACTTACTCACTTTTGATTGGAGATAATCGGCAAAAAAGAAAAATAAATCTTTTCCATTTTGTCTTTCTCAGGGCCCCTTCTTAACCCTTCTGTCTCTGCTGCAGTTTGCACTGGCCTTCTCCATCCCCAGCTGCTGTCTCCTTTGCCTTCTTTCTTTCCTCTCCTTTTTAATCAAAACCAAAAAGACACTTTTAGGCGAACAGGGGCCCCCATGGGGCCCCCTGGGGTCCCCCCACAGGACCCAGGGGGGCCTCCGTGGGGCCCCCAAGAGCGGTGGCCCTCGTGGGGCCCCAAGCGGGGCCCCAGGGAGGGCCCCAGGGGGGGCCCCTTGGGGGCCCCCAAGGGGGCCCCCATGGGGGGCCCCATGGGGAGGACCACGGGGGGGCCCCCAAGGGGCCCCCAGCAGTGCTTGGGCTGCTCCACAGGAAGTATTTGGGGGGCTGGACGCAGCATAGAAGCAGCAGCAACACCAGCTGCTGCTGCTGCTGCTGCTGCTGCAGCTGCAGGGAAGCAAGAGCAGAGGGGCCGTTTTGAGGATAGGGATAAAAGGTCATGTAGGGACAGCTGGGATGGTAGTGAGGCCCCCCTTGTGGGATTATCAGCAGCAAGAAAAAGAAAAATAAAAATAAAAAAAGAAAAAGAAAATAAAAAAAGAAAAAGAAACAAAAGTTGGGCGACGCTGCTGGGAGGTGACGGCGAAAGAAAAGCTGAAGCGACGCAGCAGCAACGCGCATGCACTGCAGCACAAGCAGCAGCAGCAGCAGCAGCAGCAGCAACTGGTCGTACAAGGAGCAGGGAGGAGCAGCAACAGGAGGGGACCCCCGCAGGAGAAGCAAGTAGATATGATGAGGAGCTGCTTAGTGGGGCAGAGTCACCTGCTGCTGCTGCTGCTGCTGCTGCTGTGTGCGGAAATACATTACTGTTACCGCGGCTTTGCCCCTGCCGTTTGCTGCTGCTGCACGCCTCGGTTTGCTGCTGCGACTCCCTGGAGGAAAGCAGAAGCAAAAAGAGAAATAAAAAAGAAAAGGAAAGGAATGAAAAGAGAGAAAGAAAAGCAAGGAAAAAAGGCGCAAAAAGAAACAGAGACGCGAGGCATTCTCATCCCCCCTCTCCAGATGCAGCAGAATCCCCTGCAGCAACTGCAGCAGCAGCAACAGCAGCAGCACCTGCTGCTGCGCTGCTGCCTGAAATTGATACTCCTCTGTGTGCTGCTGAGCCAGAGGGACCCCAAAAGACCAGAATGCAGGCTCAAGCAGCAGAACAACTACACAAAAGAGCAGCACAAATAAGAAAGGGGGGCCCCCTCCTGCTCTCAGGGGCCCCTGAGGAGCTGGGGCCCCCTTCTGGGGGCCCTCTGGGGGGCCCCAGTGGGGGCCCCCACGCAGGGGCTCCCCATGGGAGCCCCCAGGTAGGGGCCCCTCGTGGGGGCCCCCAGGCAGGGGCCCCCCATGGGGCTTCGCAGTTGGCTGTTGATTCGATTAGAGTTGTAATTCATAATGATGAAAATCTGGAGCCTCTGTTGTACAAGGGTTTGCCCTTGTCTGCTTTTGTTGAAGGAAAAACAAAAGGCATTTAAAACGCCTCAGCAGCAATTTCTACTTCGTTTGTTCCCTTCTTTGCTGCTGCTACTGCTGCTGCTGTTGTTGTTGTTGTTGCTGCTGCTGCTGCTGCTGTTGCTGCCTTTTTGTTCTTGTTTGGGTTTAAACCGCTAAGACTTGCTTTAGGCTCTCAGCCAAGTTTAGAGCCATCAAGCTCTTAGGTAAACTACATAAAAAAAGGATTTAATGAATTAAGCAAAAGTGAAAATTTTAAATTATGTGAATACACAAAAAAGCCCAAAATGATTTGAGCAAAAATGCCAAAAAAAATTTAAATAAGTAGTAGCTCATATGAGGACTTAAACGAACAAACACTCTGGATCAGTTGAAACAAAAAAGTGTTTAAAATGAAATTTCAAAACTAATTACGTAAATTAATTAAAACAAAAAGTGTTTAAGATTATATTTCAAAACTAAGAATGCACTTGTGCGCTGAAAGGCAAAAGTGTGGCTGAGGGAAAAAGAAATAAAAATCAAATTAAAAAAATAAAAAGAAAAAAGAAAAATAAATAAAAAGAGAAAAAGATCAGAGGGTAAGAGTGAGAAAAACAGCAAAAATTTAATTATGATGAAAGAATCTAGAATTGAATTTGCAACTGAATCAAATTAAAAAGAAAATAATTAAAAGAAAATAATTAAATAAATAAAAAAAGAGAAAGATTAAAGGGTGAAAATGAGGAAAGCAGCAAAAATTAATTATAATGAAAAATGAAGTTGAAACAGAAAGCACTAAAGTTGAATTCTAGAGGCTCAGAGGAAGCAATTAACTTCTGGTAAAGAAAAAAAACAATAATAAGTAAATTAATTTCTAACGAAGAAAAAAGAATAATAAAAAGTAAATTAACTTTTAATAAAGAAATTAATAAAAAGGGAAGACAAAGGAAAAAGAGAATGGGAAATAAGAAAGAAATTCAAATAAGAGGAGTGGAAATAAGAAACAAATTCAAATAAAAAAGAATGAGAAATAAGAAAGAAGTTCAAAAAAAGAATGGAAATAAGAAACAATGAATGATGAATAAGTAATATTATCAATTAATTAGAAGAGAGAAATTGGCAAGGAGATGAAATCACAGGAAGTGGAAATCGGCAAAAAGATTAAATAATAAATTATAAAAATTGGCAAAAAGATTAAATAGTAATATTAATGAATGAAGACTAGCAGAAAGATTAAATAATAATTAATGAAAAACGGCAAAAAGATAAAATAGTAAATACAAATTGGCAAAAAAGTAATAAATAAATAATGAAAAATGGCAAAAAAGTTAAACAATTAACAACGATAAATGGCAAATACATGGAATGATAAACAACAAAAATTCGCAAAAGGACAAACCAATAAAAAATGAAAAGTGGCAAAAATAGAAATTAATAAAAAATGAAAAATGGCAAAAATAGAAAATAATAAGAAGTGAAACATGGCAAAAATAGAAAATAATAAAAAGTGGAAAATTTGCAGCAGCAAGGCTGCACTGGCTCGTTGTTGAAGGGCTTCAGCGGAATTTTGAATTATTATTTTCTCTTTGTTTTTTATTTTAAAACTTCTTTAAAAATTAAGTTTAAAAAGTAAAATTAGAATAAATAATTAATATTTCTGCGGCTGGCAATAGCCAATAAAGGATTGAACAACTGGGCGATCTTTTCTCTTTTTGACTTTTTGCAAAAGTTTCGAACAAACAAATCCAAAACTAAATCTGATAAAAAGTTAGAAACCCTTTTTTCAGTGGTGGCCTTTTAATGTGGCCAAACTCCCTGTTGGTGGGGTTGTTGTAATTTGAAATACCCTACGCCAGCAAACAGCCCTAACCACTGTCTGTCTAGGGGCCCCTGGGGGCCCCCTAGGGCCTCTTCGATGGGGCTTGGGGGCCCCAGGCGCTGCAGCTGGGGGCAGGGGGCCCCCTAGCTGCTAAGCTCTGTAGGCAGGAGGGCCTCTAGTATATTCTGATTTAAGAATTTGATTTGGGGGCCCCTACGGAGACCCTGCTGCTGCTTACTGCCTAAGGGGACCCCCACAGGCTGGGACAGCGCCACCACTAGCGGGATCCCTGGGGGCCCCTGGGGTCCCCCCAGTTTGGCAGGTCTTAGGGGGCCCCCGGGGGCCCCCGTTAGAGTGCTTTAGGGCGCGGGCAGCTAGCTGTGGGCCGCACTACTAATGAAAAGCTAATAAATAAAAGAATTATTATAAATGAATTAAAACTATTGGATCTGAATAGAGAAAGTAAAAGATTGAAAAAGAAAGAAAAGAAAAGGATAAGAGATGGGCGTGGGCTGGCTAAGGCTGGGCAGCAAACAAAGGCGAACAAAAGAAAAGAAGATTTAGAGAAGTGGAAAAGAGAAAATGTGGAAGGACGAAAACAAATAAATATAATTTAAAGAAAATAATCCGAAGAAGGTCTCGGTCAGCGCGGAAAACGCGGAAAAACGAAATAAAATAAAGAGGGAAATGGAAAGAAAGAAAGGACCAGTTCTGGGGTGGTTTGGGGTGTACGTACACCTGGGGCTGCACAAGGAGGGAGCGACGCCGGGGGACAGAAAGCCTTGGAGGGGCGATAAGGGGGAAAAAGAAGGCAAGATGAAGAGGAAATTGTTTGGAAAAGTGGCAATTAAAGTTGAAATGCATGCGAAGGAAAAAGAAGAAAAGATATTTGGGTTTCAAAGGTCTAAAAATACCGAAAAAAGACAAGAGAGGCGAGGCGGCGGCTGCGGGCGAAGCGGGCCGAGGCCGGTCCCCCGCCGCTCCCCAGACCCATCTGAAGCTCCGGAAATAGATTAAATGAGTTAATTTTATTGAATTTCTTCTTTTTTGTGGAGAAAATGGAGAAAGAAGTGCATTTGGCGGGGGCCCCGGAGCCGCCGACCAGCGCCGGGCGGGGCCGAGCTGCGGCGTGTGGGCAAGCGTGGACAGTTGGACTGGTTATTTCGCTGAAACTCTTTTTAAAAATACGAAACAAAGATTTATTGATTGATTAATTAGCAGAAATGGGGAATTAAAGGCAGCAACTGTACGTACACCGGGCTGTGACCGCCAGACCAGCAGCAGGCCGCTCCCTCTCTCTCTCTGTCTGCCGTTTGTTCGTGTGTTTGTCTCTTTCTCCGTTTCTTTCTTTCAAACAATGCTTGTTTTTATTGTTTTATTTGCTTTTATTGTTTTAATTGCCTTTAAAGTCCATTTTGAAGCTCAGTTTCTCGGCTCCGGGGCTCGGGTTCTTCTCTCTGCCGGGTCCCGTTCCTCTGCAGCGCAGCAGCAGCAGCAACAGCAACAGCAGCTGCAGTCGCCCGTTTCTCGCGATTTTTCGCCCTCTCTCTCCTCTTCTTCTCCTGCTTCTTTACTGCATTTGTTATATTTCGATTATTTCTGAAAAGTCCCGAAAAAAGGGGAAAAGCTGCGCAGCGTCGGCGGCGGGCCCCATAGCGAGGCTGGGCCTCAGAGAGCCACCGCGGCTCTGTGGATTCAGCTCCAAGTTCGTGAGTTTTTCTTTCTTTTTATTTTAATTAATTAATTCCTTTTTACTTATTTCTTTTTCTTTTCTTTTGCTGCATTTAAACTCCGGGGCCCCAGGCCGCCGCTGCTGCGCCCTCTGGACCAGTCGGCCTGCTGCCTGACCGCCGCTGCAGCAGGGGCCTCTTTGCTGCTAAAAAGCCCTTTAAAACCCATTTAAATTATTTAATTAGCATTATCTAATCAAATTTAATTCCTTTTTTTCTTTCAATCCCCCTCTGTACCTCCCCGGGGCCCCCTGCGCCATGTTGCTGCTGCTGCTGCTGCTGCTGCTGCCCGCGACCCTCTGCTGCTCCCCTTTTGCTGCTTCTTTTCCCTTGAGGGACCCCCTTTTGCTTCACACTTCTTTTCCAGTTCAAAATTAAATTTGAGACACGCGCGCCTCACAGCTGCTGCTGCTGCTGCTATGTGCTGCTGCAGCGGTCCTTGCAGCTGCTCGCTTTGCTGCTGCTGCAGCCGCCCCCCCTCCCCTGCAGCTCTTCCCGCAGCCGCCATGCAGCAGCAGCAGCAGCAAGAAGCAGCAGCCCTGGAGGCAGCAGACAAGGCCTGGCAGTTTGCTGCTGCTCACAAAACTGAAGGCAGCAACCTTAGCTGCGCCTGGGACCTCTGGAAGCTCGCAGCGCCAGTGTAAACCGCCACAGCAGCAGCAGCACCAGCAGCAGCAGCAGCAGCAACCTGCGAAGGTAATGAATGCATGCATTGTTTGTGCTGCTTTCACTTCTCAGGCCTGCCCTGGGCGACGGCGCAGCAGCAGAGTCCCCTGAGGTGTCTGCTGAGGGGCCCCCAGCTTCTTCGGGGGCCCCGGGGGCCCCGGGGGCCCCCAGCAAGGCTGCCCCGGGGGCCTCCGGG